ACACATACACACATACACACATACACACACACACATACACACACACACACACACACACACACACACACACACATATACACACACACACACACACACAGCAAGGATCCGAAGACGGCGAACCGTGAGGGAGGGAATTATGCGTCAGAAGACGCCCTTGGTGGCGTCTTGAAGGAAGGAGCCACGCTGAGCGTCTCGTAATATCCTGTCGTATTTACACCAAGAGTCGGCGATGGCCAGTGAGGTGTGTGTGTGTGTGTGTGTGTTTGTCATTCAGATCGGAACATTAATTAGATCTTCGTAAAAAAAAAACAAACAATCATCAGAGGAGGATGTCCATGTTATACCTCCCACACTGGTGTATGTGTTATACCTCCCACACTGGTGTATGTGTTATACCTCCCACACTGGTGTCTGTGTTATACCTCCCACACTGGTGTATGTGTTATACCTCCCACACTGGTGTCTGTTATACCTCCCACACTGGTGTATGTGTTATACCTCCCACACTGGTGTCTGTTATACCTCCCACACTGGTGTATGTGTTATACCTCCCACACTGGTGTCTGTTGTACCTCCCACACTGGTGTATGTGTTATACTTCCCACACTGGTGTATGTGTTATTCCTCCCACACTGGTGTCTGTGTTATACCTCCCACACTGGTGTCTGTGTTATACCTCCCACACTGGTGTCTGTGTTATACCTCCCACACTGGTGTCTGTGTTATACCTCCCACACTGGTGTCTGTTATACCTCCAACACTGGTGTCTGTGTTATACCTCCCACACTGGTGTCTGTGTTATACCTCCCACACTGGTGTCTGTGTTATACCTCCCACACTGGTGTCTGTGTTATACCTCCCACACTGGTGTCTGTTATACCTCCCACACTGGTATATGTGTTATACCTCCCACACTGGTGTATGTGTTACACCTCCCACACTGGTGTCTGTGTTATACCTCCCACACTGGTGTCTGTGTTATACCTCCCACACTGGTGAATGTGTTATACCTCCCACACTGGTGTCTGTTATACCTCCCACACTGGTGTCTGTGTTATACCTCCCACACTGGTGAATGTGTTATACCTCCCACACTGGTGTCTGTTACACCTCCCACACTGGTGTATGTGTTATACCTCCCACACTGGTGTATGTGTTACACCTCCCACACTGGTGTCCGTGTTATACCTCCCACACTGGTGTCCGTGTTATACCTCCCACACTGGTGTCCGTGTTATACCTCCCACACTGGTGTCTGTGTCATACCTCCCACACTGGTGTCCGTGTTATACCTCCCACACGGGTGTCCGTGTCATACCTCCTACACTGGTGTCCGTGTCATACCTCCCACACTGGTGTCCGTGTCATACCTCCCACACTGGTGTCCGTGTCATACCTCCCACACTGGTGTCCGTGTCATACCTCCCACACTGGTGTCCGTTTTCATACCTCCCACACTGGTGTCCGTGTCATACCTCCTACACTGGTGTCCGTGTCATACCTCCCACACTGGTGTCGTGTCATACCTCCCACACTGGTGTCCGTGTCATACCTCCCACACTGGTGTCCGTGTCATACCTCCCACACTGGTGTCCATGTTATACCTCCCACACTGGTGTCCGTGTCATACCTCCCACACTGGTGTCCGTGTCATACCTCCCACACTGGTGTCCGTGTTATACCTCCCACACTGGTGTCTGTGTCATACCTCCCACACTGGTGTCCGTGTCATACCTCCCACACTGGTGTCCGTGTCATACCTCCCACACTGGTGTCCGTGTCATACCTCCCACACTGGTGTCCGTGTCATACCTTCCACACTGGTGTCCGTGTCATACCTCCCACACTGGTGTCCGTGTCATACCTCCCACACTGGTGTCCGTGTCATACCTCCCACACTGGTGTCCGTGTCATACCTCCCACACTGGTGTCCGTGTCATACCTCCCACACTGGTGTCCGTGTTATACCTCTCACACTGGTGTCCGTGTCATACCTCCCACACTGGTGTCCGTGTCATACCTCCCACACTTGTGTCCGTGTTATACCTCCCACACAGGTGTGTGTGTCATACCTCCCACACTGGTGTCCGTGTCATACCTCCCACACTGGTGTCCGTGATATACCTCCCACACTGGTGTCCGTGTTATACCTCCCACACTGGTGTCCGTGTTATACCTCCCACACTGGTGTCCGTGTCATACCTCACACACTGGTGTCCGTGTTATACCTCCCACACTGGTGTCTGTGTTATACCTCCCACACTGGTGTCTGTGTTATACCTCCCACACTGGTGTCCGTGTTATACCTCCCACACTAGTGTCCGTGTTATACCTCCCACACTGGTGTCCGTGTTATACCTCCCACACTGGTGTCCGTGTTATACCTCCCACACTGGTGTATGTGTTATACCTCCCACACTGGTGTCCGTGTCATACCTCCCACACTGGTGTCCGTTTCATACCTCCCACACTGGTGTCCGTGTCATACCTCCCACACTGGTGTCCGTTTCATACCTCCCACACTGGTGTCTGTGTTATACCTCCCACACTGCTGTCTGTGTTATACCTCCCCCACTGGTGTATGTGTTATACCTCCCCCACTGGTGTATGTGTTATACCTCCCCCACTGGTGTATGTGTTATACCTCCCACACTGGTGTAAGTGTTATACCTCCCACACTGGTGTCTGTGTTATACCTCCCACCATGGTGCATGAGTTATACCTCCCACACTGGTGTTCGTGTCATACCTCCCACACTGGGGTCTGTGTTATACCTCCCACACTGGTGTATGTGTTATACCTCCCACACTGATGTCTGTGTTATACCTCCCACACTGGTGTATGTGTTACACCTCCCACACTGGTGTCTGTGTTATACCTCCCACACTGGTATCCGTGTCATACTTCCCACACTGGTGTCTGTGTTATACCTCCCACACTGGTGTCCGTGTTATACCTCCCACACTGGTGTATGTGTTATACCTCCCACACTGGTGTCTCTTGTTATAGCTCCCACACTGGTGTCCGTGTCATACCTCCCACACTGGTGTATTTGTTATACCTCCCACACTGGTGTATGTGTTATACCTCCCACACTGGTGTATGTGTTTTACCTCCCACACTGGTGTCCGTGTTATACCTCCCACACTGGTGTATGTGTTATACCTCCCACACTGGTGTCTCTTGTTATAGCTCCCACACTGGTGTCCGTGTCATACCTCCCACACTGGTGTATGTGTTATACCTCCCACACTCGTGTATGTGTTATACCTCCCACACTGGTGTCTGTGTTATACCTCCCACACTGGTGTCCGTGTTATACCTCCCACACTGGTGTCTGTGTTATACCTCCCACACTGGTGTCTGTGTTATACCTCCCACACTGGTGTATGTGTTATACCTCCCACACTGGCGTCTGTGTTATACCTCCCACACTGGTGTCTGTGTTATACCTCCCACACTGGTGTATGTGTTATACCTCCCACATTGGTGTCTGTGTTATACCTCCCACACTGGTGTCTGTGTTATACCTCCCACACTCGTGTCTGTGTTATACCTCCCACACTGGTGTCTGTGTTATACCTCCCACACTGGTGTCTGTGTTATACCTCCCACACTGGTGTATGTGTTATACCTCCCACACTGGCGTCTGTGTTATACCTCCCACACTGGTCTATGTGTTATACCTCCCACACTGGTGTATGTGTTATACCTCCCACACTGGTGTCCGTGTCATACCTCCCACACTGGTGTCTGTGTTATACCTCCCACACTGGTGTCCGTGTCATACCTCCCACACTGGTGTCCGTGTCATACCTCTCACACTGGTGTCCGTGTCATACCTCCCACACTGGTGTATGTGTTATACCTCCCACACTCGTGTATTTGTTATACCTCCCACACTGGTGTATGTGTTATACCTCCCACACTGGTGTATGTGTTATACCTCCCACACTGGTGTATGTTTTATACGTCCCACACTGGTGTATGTGTTATACCTCCCACATTGGTGTCTGTGTTATACCTCCCACACTGGTGTATGTATTGTACCTCACACACACGCACGCACGCGCACACACACCATACACACAACACACACCCCACACACACACACACACACACACACACACACACACACACACACACACACACACTCAAACACACACACACACCTACACACCTACACACACACAACAGGCCTAGTGTCTAATGGGACATGTGCTTAGGACAAAATGGTAACTAACACACCACACACACATACATCACACACACACACACACACACACACACACACACACACACACACACATATTATGTAAATATGTTTGATGATCCCGGATATTCAAAAAACTTTTAACTTTCTCAGTAAAACACGAAACATGTGTATATTTCGCAATGTTTTCAAGTGTAATTTAAACATTGGCCCTTACGAGACCCTTGTAGGTTTATCGCTTTTATTATAATTCACTGAAGAGTTTTACATCAGCTATGCATACTTTACATTATATGTTCACAGTTATACATCAGATATACACAGACTGTGAATTAATACCATTTACTGTTTACAGACTGTGAATTAATACCATTTACTGTTTACAGACTGTGAATTACTACCATTTACTGTTTACAGACTGTGAATTAATACCATTTTCTGTTTACAGACTGTGAATTAATACCATTTTCTGTTTACAGACTGTGAATTAATACCATTTACTGTTTACAGACTGTGAATTAATACCATTTACTGTTTACAGACTGTGAATTAATACCATTTTCTGTTTACAGACTGTGAATTAATACCATTTACTGTTTACAGACTGTGAATTAATACCATTTTCTGTTTACAGAGTGTAAATTAATACCATTTACTGTGTACAAACTATGAATTAACACCGTTTACTCTTAAGTGTTAATTCACAGTCTTATTGTTTGTAGGCTGTGAATTAACACTTTTTTTTCTGATTGCAAAAGAGTGAATAAGCACCGTTTTCTGTTTTCAGGCTGTGAATGAGAAAATCCACTTCGCCGTGACCCCAAAAGACCCACGCTACTATTTTCCCATCTCACGACCTCACGCTGAAGGCCCCTCTGAGGAGGACTTCCTGCGCCTACTGTCCCCAGACCTCAACCTTCAGAACCAGCAGGGGTTTCCTGGAGAGCTTCAATACCAGGATGAGGACGCTCAATACCAAGCCGAGTATCCACACCAATACCAGCCAAGATTCCCCGAGGCGGTCCGCTACCCAGCCCAGTTCCTCTCTCTTCCCAATATCAAATATCCTGGGAGGGATCTCTTCTCTGGGCGGCAGGTGGGCGGCCCGCAGGATCCCAGCCTTGCTGAAGCCACCGCACTAGACGGAGGCACAGACGAACTGACGGATAATGAGCGGGAGGAAAGTAAACGAATGATGATGGAGGAGATAGAAAATAATGCTGAAAAGCAGAGTTTGAAGAACTTCGTCGAAGAAAATGTCAAGGCTCAGAAAAAGGTAGGACTAAATACACTTACTTTAGACAGAATGAATCATGATGTATGCTTTATTATTTTCAGGAATTACGGCTTTATTAAATAATTTATATTAAATTTCATGTTTGTTTCAAACTGGCTCTATATACCTGGAGGGAGTTCTGGGGGTCAACGCCCCCGCGACCCGGTCCATGACCAAGTGTGTTGAAGGCGATACAGGTACCTATTTGGACAAGACATAAGGTATATAGTGTTTAATATAAATGACTCGGTGAACTGAGTTTCCGTCTCAATGTTGTTGAACTTGTCTACCAACAGCTCCTCCTGCACTGAGCCTTCCAATGTGAGGTCCAGTTCAAGCACTTTCCAAGCAAATAGCTATAGAATTGTCAATTTATATCTGTTAATGAACCAGGAAACATAAATGCAGCATAATACGATCCTTTATTGGCAACGTTTTGCCCACACAGTGGGCATTATTAATTTACAATCTGATCTATCTGGTGAGAGAGGACGTGCGTATATAGAAAGCTTAATGACATGAAAAGTCAGGTGAGGAATGTTGAAGTTGACGACTGACAAGAGACTGAATTTGAGAAAGATCTGCTCAGGCGTGGACCAGTAGGCCTGCTGCTGTATTCCTCCATGTTATGATCTGTTGCTGTGAGGATAACGATGAAGTTTCCTGGCAGGAGGTTTAACTATATTCCAGGAGCCGTTGTTTTGTTTGAAATTGTTGGATATGCAGATGAATGATGATTCCAGAACCTTGCGTCTCTTGGGCGTCTTCTTCTCTGGCGGTGAGTCGTGCGTCTCTGTACTTAATTCAGTCATTATGAGAATTTAGGTGTAAAGCACAAGCTTTAGAGGTCTTAAGCTATTTCTGAGTATTGTGTTTCGAAACACTTGTTTAGAGGTCTCTAGATGTTTCACCTATGTATATTTGGTTGCAATCGTTGCAAAGGATTATGTATACAAATGCAGAGGATTGAACCTGATGGTGCCCCTTACTGGTGATGTCTGATTGTAGGGGATGCAGTGGCAGATACTTAGAATGTAGTATTGGAAAGAATATTGGAGACTTGTTTGGCAATGGAGTTAGTGGGAGGGGGGACTATGTAACTTCTCTCGGCGGTATACTGTCTGGGTGAGTTGAAGATGTTATGTGCCCGGCGTCTGTCATCTTTGATGAATCGACGAGGATATTGAAGATTAGAAAATACTTGTTTGATGAAAAAGTATTCTTCCTAAAGGAATTCACTATGGCAGCTACGAAGGGAACTCAGGAAGAAGCCTATGATTACGTCATTTTTGGTTTTGGTATCGTGGTGTGAGTAGAATTGGAGAATATCGTGTTGGTTGGTCGGTTTTTGGTAGATTTTTAAACGAAGCTTGTGGTCAGCTTTGGACAGAACAAGGAAGGATAGTGTCGTCGGCTTCTTTTCTAACATAAATTGGATTCAGGGCTCGACCTGGTTGATCCTGTGATGCAGAGCAGGAACGTTGCGACATTTAGGGGTTACGATGAGTATGTCGTCAACATAACGGAGCCAGATGACTGAAGAGGAAATAGAGAAAAAACTCTCCGCTTGGAGGTGTTCCATGCAGAGGTTCGTCAGTACAGCTCTAAGTGGGGAACCCATGGGCATATCCTGACATATTTTAGGCAACTTGTGATTCAGTAGTTGAACATCCGGCCCACAGCCGAACGGACTCGGGATCAATTACGGGGAAGGACAAGACATATGTAGAGGCAAGTCTCCTGACACGTGGTTTGCCTTACAGTGTTAGGTATTAGTCAACTGATGTGGGTCGTATAGTAAGGTAAATATTTAAATGGAATTCACAATAATGAATACGAGACATTAATAGCATTGCTTAGTTCTGTAACTGCGAATAAGTAATCACCAGTGAAATATTTGGATCATGACTCAAGTCAGTTTTGCTGCAATACTTGAAGGATCTGGCCATAACATCAGACGAGACGCCAGCTATTGATGCCCAACACATTCTCTTATCTCGCATAATCATCTTCGTGTATTTCTCACATACGGTTTGCAGAAAACTTCTCAATTTTGTTAAGTTGTCATCTGTCCATAAAAAATAACCGGCTATATCATTATACAACGAGAAAATATAAATATAAGAAGAAGGCACTGAACACGGCAGATTTTCACTGTTTAAGGAACCTTTATCTGTTATTCATTTCGCTGCATTTACAACAGTGAAATGATGTCTGTGATTAAGAGAGGATGTGATGCCGCAATTTATGAAGGTCTTTGTTGCTTATGCAACCGATGTGTTCCCTTCTGCTTGTTATTAAATAACATTGTGTGTGTGTGTGTGTGTGTTTGTGTGTGTGTGGGTGTGTTTGTGTGTGTGTGGGTGTGTGTGTGTGTGTGTGTACTCACCTATTTGTACTCACCTATTTGTGGTTGCAGGGGTCGAGTCACAGCTCCTGGCCCCGCCTCTTCGCTGATTGCTACTAGGTCCTCTCTCTCCCTGCCCCATGAGCTCTATCATACCTCGCCTTAAAACTATGTATGGTTCCCGCTTCCACTACGTCACTTTCTAGGCTATTCCACGGCCTGACTACTCTATGACTGAAGAAATACTTCCTAACTTCCCTTTGATTCATCTGAGTCTTCAACTTCCAATTTTGACCTCTTGTGTCTGTGTCCCTTCTCTGGAACATCCCGTCTTTGTCCACCTTGTCTATTCCGCGCAGTATTTTATATGTCGTTATCATGTCTCCCCTGACCCTCCTGTCCTCCAGTGTCGTCAGGCCGATTTCCCTCAACCTTTCTTCGTAGGACAATCCCCGTAGCTCTGGGACTAGTCTTGTTGCAAACCTTTGCACTTTCTCTAATTTCTTGACGTGCTTGACTAGGTGTGGATTCCAAACTGGTGCTGCATACTCCAGTATGGGCCTGACGTAAATGGTATACAGAGTCTTAAACGAATCCTTACTGAGGTATCGGAACGCTATCCGTAGGTTTGCCAGGCGCCCGTATGCTGCAGCAGTTATCTGATTGATGTGCGCCTCAGGAGATATGCTCGGTGTTATGCTCACCCCAGATCTTTTTCCTTGAGTGAGGTTTGCAGTCTTTGGCCATCTAAACTATATTGTGTCTGCGGTCTTCTTTGCCCTTCCCCAATCTTCATGACTTTGCATTTGGCGGGGTTAAATTCAAGGAGCCAGTTGCTGGACCAGGCTTGTAGCCTGTCCAGGTCTCTTTGTAGTCCTGCCTGATCCTCATCCGATTTGATTCTTCTCATTAAACTTCGCATCATCTGCAAACAAGGACACTTCTGAGTCTATCCCTTCCGTTATGTCGTTCACATATACCAAGAACAGCACAGGTCCTAGGACTGACCCTGTGGAACCCCGCTTGTCACAGGCGCCCACTCTGACACCTCGTCGCGTACCATGACTCGTTGTTGCCTCCCTGTCAGGTATTCTCTGATCCATTGCAGTGCCTTTCCTATTATGTGTGCCTGATCCTCTAGCTTTTGCAGTAACCTCTTGTGAGGAACTGTGTCGAAGGCCTTCTTGCAGTCCAAAAATATGCAGTCGATCCACCCCTCTCTCTCTTGTCTTACTTCTGTCACCTTGTCATAAAACTCTAGTAGGTTTGTGACACAGGACTTTCCTTCCCTGAAACCGTGCTGGTTGTCAATTATACACTTGTTTCTTTCCAGGTGCCCCACCACTCCTCCTGATCTTCTCCATGACCTTGCATACTATACACGTTAGTGATACAGGTCTGTAGTTTAGTGCCTCATGTCTGTCTCCCTTTTTAAAAATTGGGACTACATTTGCCATTTTCCATACCTCAGGGAGTTGCCCAGTTTCAAATGATGTGTTGAAGATCTTTGTTAATGGCTCACACAATATCTCTGCTCCCTCTTTAAGGACCCATGGAGAGATGTTGTCTGGTCCCACCGCCTTTGAGGTGTCAAGTTCGCATAGCAGCTTCTTCACCTCCTCCTTGGTTATATGTACCTCATCCAGCACTTGCTGGTGCCCCCCTCTTCTGATTTCTGGAGTCCTACTGGTTTCCACTGTAATACCTCTTTAAATCTTGTGTTGAGCTCCTGACATACCTCTTGGTCGTTTCTGGGGAATTCCCCATCACCCTTCCTCATTCTGATTACCTGGTCTTGACTGTTGTTTTCTCCTGATGTGGCTGTACAAACAGCTTCGGGTCAGTCTTTACTTTTGATGCTATGTCATTTTCATATTGTCTCTGAGCCTCCCTTCTTATCTGTTCATATTCGTTTCTGGCTCTTCGGCTGATTTCTTTATTTTTTAGTTCTTGTCTTTACTTTTCATTTCTAGTTCCTTTTTCCTCTACTCCTTGTGTTAAAAGGCACCTCTTTCTCTTTCCTTTTCCTTTAACAACTTCCCGTCCTTTTTGTTTTTTTCTTCATGATCCTTTTTTTTGACTTGTCCTTTTCCTTGCCTTCCCCTTGTCTTGGGTTCTTTGCCTGAACCCCTTTTGTTTTTTCCCCCAGCCTAATTGGAAACCCTTTTTTCTTGAGTTATAGTGTGAGCAAGATTTAAAATTTAGGGGGGCCCTTTCTATTGGGAAAATGGGGGGGGATGGAGGGGGGGGGTAAAGGGGAGGGGGTATCCATTTTTGGAGGGTTCATAAAGAAAGGGGATGGTGGTTAGTACCCAAATTTTTTGGGGTCTTAAAGTTTGTGGGCCCAAAGGGGGAGGTTTTGGTATTTTGTATTTAAATCCTCTTTGGATTGTTTAGCAAGTGGGCTTTCTGCCCCCAAATCGGGGATGTTCCCCTCCCGGGGTCTTGTCCACGTATTCTTTGTGTGGTTGTGGTGGTGTGTTATTTTCCCCTTTTCTTGCTGGTTGTTTATGTTGTTTTGATGATGTGTTACCATTCTTTGTATCTTTTGGGGTTTTGGTGACTCCTTTCTCCCCTGTTAGTTTCCGGGGTGGTCCAAGGGTTTTTTGCCTTTTTTCCCGGTGATGTTTCCCCGTGAGCTTTATGTCTTGGTTACCCTTTGGATTTTCCTGCCCCACTACAGCTTAAAAAATTTTATTTTCCCCTTTTTCCCCAAATACTTCCTAAACCCTTGGTCATTGGGTTTTTTAAAGGGTTTTATGGTGTCTTGGAAACTGTTGTATTGTAATACTGGGATTTGTGTGTTATATTGTTTTTCCTGTTAGTGCGTTGGGGGATTTCCCTTAACTTTTAGGATACTCTTGCTCTGGGCTGTCTTGTTGAACCTTGCTCTTCTTTTCTTTTCCTTCTTCGGCCCGTGTGGTTTTCAAACCGGTCCGCTTTCTCTTTGGGCTAGTCCGGTGATAATTCCTGTACGATTCCCTTTAAGATGTCGGAATGCTGTTCTGAGGTTGCCAGGCGCCCATATGCTGCAGCAGTTATTTGGTTGATGTGCGCTTCAGGAGATGTGCCTGGTGTTATACTCACCCCAAGATCTTTTTCCTTGAGTGATGTTTGTAGTCTCTGACCCCTAGACTGTACTCCATCTGCTGTCTTCTTTGCCCTTCCCCAATCCTCATGACTTTGCACTTGGAGGGATTGAACTCCAGGAGCCAGTTGCTGGACCAGGTCTGCAGCCTGTCCAGATCCCTTTGTATTTCTGCCTGGTCTTCGTCGAATGAACTCTTCTCATCAACTTCACGTCATCTGCAAACAGTGACACCTCGGAGTTTATTTCCTTCCGTCATGTCATTCACAAATACCAGAAACTGCACTGGTCCTAGGACTGACCCTGTGGGACCCCACTGGTCACAGGTGCCCACTCTGACACCTCGCCTCGTACCATTACTCTCTGCTGTCTTCCTGACAAGTATTCCCTGATCCATTGCAGTGCCTTCCCGTTATTCCTGCTTGGTCCTCCAGTTTTTGCACTAATCTCTTGTGTGGTACTGTGTCAAACGCCTTCTTGCAGTCTAAGAAATGCAATCCACCCACCCCTCTCTCTCTTCTCTTACTGCTGTCACCATGTCATAGAACTCCAGTAGGTTTGTGACACAGGATTTCCCGTCTCTGAAACCATGTTGTCTGCTGGTGATGAGATCATTCCTTTCTAGATGTTCCACCATTCTTCTCTGACAATCTTTTCCATGATTTTGCATGCTATACATGTCAGTGACACTGGTCTGTAGTTTAGTGCTTCATGTCTGTCTCCTTTTTTAAAGATTGGTACCACATTTGCTGTCTTCCATGCCTCAGGCAATCTCCCTGTTCGATAGATGTATTGAATATTGTTGTTAGGGGTACACATAGCGCCTCTACTCCCTCTCTCAGGACCCATGGAGAGATGTTATCTGGCCCCATT